GTCAATAATATTCGCTAGGAGGCGAAGCACTCTGTAGAGATGAGGAGGAGGGCCTGGGCAGCTGCGAAAAAAGCGCACAAAACAAGCAGCAGCTCCAAGCTGAAGCACAAAAACAGTGTCCATTTTATTTCTAATCAGCACATTAAATATCACGGAGGGGGAAACTCGAGCCGGGAGGCGGGACATTTGCATATCACTGGGAACCGAAGGGCAACTGAGCAAGGCGAAGGGGGTTTAGCCGCCATCTTCGTTTCCTTGCTACTCGCTCCTTCTTTTTGCAACAACTCAATTGCAGAATGAAAAAATACGTTTCTAAAGTCATGATTTTTAGTCGCGTCAGGGTGTTGAATTTACGCTTACTGACCATTAGGAGTGCTGCAGTTTCGATCAGAGCGAATCCAGCCTTTTTGTTAAGGCGAAAATGCAATGGAATGGCAGCTTCTACGTGGTCGGAAACTAAACTGATAGAAATGTGTTTTCAGAAATGGTTTTCGAGCTTCGTGGTAAACCGTTTACGCTTCGTGATACCGGACGTCTGGAAGGTGTCTATTCGCTGTGCCGAAATTGGATTCGTGACAGCGATGATGGACGGCCGAAAGAAAAACGCGAAATAGAACATCCGGAACCACCCGATGATGCTCTTGTATGGGTTTTTTTTTTAAAGGCTGCTGTAGTGTCTTATGGAAAAATCGACTGGGCTCTGTGCTGCAATCCTCTGCACTTTTTTTTTTTTGAAATCTGCGATCCCTAGATGTAGATTCAGAAATGCCTATTGTTTTGCAACCAGCAAAGTGAACGTCAAATACATTGAGAAATTAGCGGTTTTGATGAATCTATGATGAAAATAAGGCACTTTCGATAGTGCTATTTCTAGTCGTAGATAATTTTCCCTGCCAAAACTTTCACAGGGTCGCACGTGGCACCCAGACCAAGAGGAAAGCTGAATTTAAAGTTGCAGAACTGTACTTGGGCAGGGGACATCAGTTTTTATTGGAGACCCGGAATTGGTACATTTTTGGCTCCATTCACATAATTAGTGAGTGGTAAGGTCTGCGAGGACATCTTGATACTCATCGCACAAACACCAAGGGCATTTCGAGAAGCTGAAGCCTTGCCAGTTGTTTTTATTGGGCGAATTGTTGAGTTGATAAACCCTTCAGGAAACTGTGCACAGCTGACCACGAAGCGTTGCAACATCGTAATCGCAGTTAAAAAAGTTGCTAGATATACAGAAATAGGCCATGGATAACAACTGTTCCACGTCTTCAGTACTGTTAAAGGAGAGGAACCGCCTGAGGCGAGAAAATCAGGGCGGGGGAACAAGTGCAAATACTGGTAAGCGTTAAAAAAAAAACCCACAAATGCGTGCATGTTGCTCTGGTGGGAAATGCAGTGCGTCAGGTAAGCGTGTGACTTCAAAATCCGCACTAATCTACAGGTGGCCTGGCCAAACTCGATGACAAGGAAAGGAAACCTATCAAGTTTGGTTCAGATCAATTCTGTGAATAAGGCAAATACGCTTGTAAAGATTTAAGCCGACATGCCTGATTGTCAGTGACTTTTTTTAAGAATCAAATCAGTTTTTTAGGATCTATTAGCAACGAAAGAAATCTGGGCATTGCCAAGACCTCATGACAATCTCTGCATTGATCCTGCACCTAAAGCACTGTACATGGACAAGAAACTCTTAGCAAATATGAATACGTCGAGTAAGAAGGATATGATGAATGCTTACCTGTCTCATTGGAAAATGATCAAAAAAAAGTTAGCCAATCTTCGTGTTTTCCGACAATTTTGCTGTAGCAGTTGTCTGGTGCATTAAGTGCGTCGTCCCTCACGAGTTTTTATTTCATATGTAGAATCATTGGTATGTCAGTGCAATGAGAAAGTAATACGCTCACTGAAACGATCAGAAAGTAATACGCTCATGGATTCTGCGCTCATGTACAATCCATAGTCTGGCTTTCCAGCTATCTAGCTAGCAAATTTGCCATTGCTCCTACCACTGCTGCATCGCCCGCTACTCAATCTGTATTTGATCCTGACGCTCGTTTCCACCCCCAAACACCATAGTCGGATCTAGGACGGAATCCAGCAATCGCCTATGGCGTA